CTTATCAAGTTATATTTAACATATTGTTTATTAAATATTGCATCCATAAGTTCCCTTCAAAGCTGTCTTTTATTGGATATGTAAATTCTTTGTAAAAGTATATCTCTAGTAAAAAGATAAAGTACATCTTCTCTCTGGTAAAACGATAAAGTATACATTATCTCTAGCACACTTGAAGTTATGCTTGCTAGAGATGCGAAGTCACAAGTTTAAGTAACATCAATTAATGGCATATGTCTGGGAGGTCATCACTTTGTACCTTCTTCCAACATGTCAGCTGAAATTGACACACGACAATGACTTCTCTGTAGGTGATGAGAACCGAGCTACATTCAAACTCCTGCACTATCTTAAATTGATGGTACATGCAGCTGCCTCACTTGGTGCTCAACATTACGAGTCTAGTGTTAGGACCGGTCAGTCTGATGCCAGGAAAAAGTGACTGGGTAATACAGCATGCTATGTGTCAGAGGCATGATGACCCCGGGGCGAGATATCACTATATAAATTGTCACATTGCATACATCGTAGCAATATTACTGAAACAAATTTTAACTCATTCAATCGTTTATTTGTTCACTCTCCTAAATATTCATGCTCTGATTAATTCCATGAATCCATTGTGCTTATATAAGTTTTAAGCTTTTTGTAGGTACTGTTACATCTCTCTCTCTCTCTCTCTCTCTCTCTCTCTCTCTCTCTCTCTCTCTCTCTCTCTCTCTCTCTCTCTCTCTCTCTCTCTCTCTCTCTCTCTCCACTTCTGAGTATTGATTAGATAATTGTTGGACCATTTCTGCCAAGTAGAGAAATAAAAATAACTAGGAAACAAACGTGGGAATCTGGGAATGCACATTAGTTTGATTTGGTGATTTGATGCCATTAATGGAGTGTGCCATATATGTTGCCATAGAATGTGCCAAACATTCCGGTTGTAACTTTTGTCTCCTTCCACCACTATATTTGCTCATGTGTACAAAAGAAGTTCCTGCTATTAATTAAAATGGCGGCATATTATATATGGACCCAGATCACGATTATTTTTCCTATGTAGTCTCATGATTTTCTTGTCAGCACTGAATTTTCCACTGTATTCCAGAACATAACAAATCAAGTGTCATTCTAAGTTATTTTCTACGATGAACTCACTGTTATGTTCTGCTTAGATTATCCGTCATTTTATGAGGCTGAACTATTCATAAAGCAACGATCGACGGGACACAGATTACACTTTCTGATCAGCATCATTACTTCATTACTCACTGTGTACAGTAACTAAAAATACACATACACAATCACAGCGTATGGCTCATATCGTAACGAATAAAACAGTAGCTATAAATTCATATCAAGGATGTCCAAATGTAACTTATGTATCACTACTAAAGAGAGAGATGCAAAATTCCGCAAAGGATATGTGACTATATTCGTGGGTATTAAACCGAGACTAAAAATTAGGACCCAAGTCCATATAAGAGTTCTTTCTAGATTTAGCGGAAAAGACTCAACATGTTTAGCTTGTTCTGGGTGTGTCGGAAGCATCATGGAAATGTTAATAAATGTGCTGTTTTATTATTAGTCGGAGTCAAAATGTATGAATACATACATTTTCAAGAGCTGTCCAAGAACAAATAATCTGGTTTCTCACCCATGCGACAGAGAACTCTAGCCCTTTTGCTAACTATACTTTTCTTTTCTCATTCTAGTCATCTCGGGCCAGTCGTCTCGTGCCCATGCACTTAGAGCTAGTTTTAAAAATGTTAACCTTATTGTCTTCCACTGTGCATGACATAGTTGTTCTAATATAAAAAACAAACAACAACAACAACAAATATGTAACAAAAATATAGTAACTTAAGTCTAATCCATCTCTGAGAACACACCATACAAACCCATTTCGAGAGAGACAAAGACTCACACGCACACAATGTCGAGCTTTTTGGTATTTTGCTAGTTCGTTCCACATAGCATATGCAATTTTATCCTATATGCATGCCTAGTTCAGTATATTTTCAGTTCAGCGTCATTTAATGAAGCTAAAGCTACCTAACTAGTTTTACAAACTTCGTGGGAAACAAATTATATAATGTTAGGTATATTAAATGAGACTGACCCGAAAAATGTCTGTGCTAGAGAAGGAATAAAATTGACCAGGCTGTGTGAAATCAACCGTGGCAGAAAATAGTGTCTATCCATATAGAATAGAGATCTGTACATTCCATAGACTCCCAACTCTCTTAACTCCAAAAATTTAGTAACGGACACAAATGTCAAATTCAAATTTTGTCAAGCATCTCAATTGTGCCCCAGTTGAATCGAAATATACCTACGATATTTAATGACAAATAATGCACTTAACCAGCCAGAATGAATCATTTATCTGTCAGCACATTATTCCATAAGCAAATTTCACTGTAGCACTTGCCATATTTCCAAGACAAAAAAAGAAATTTTCAAGGAATCCGTGAACTTGAAAGTTTAGCACATGGTTTTCCGCTATGGATCGTATTTGGATGGTCTTTTTATACACGTTCGATAATTTTACAATCAGTATTAAGGACAACATAAGTACCCAGCATCGTTTCTTATTTTACAATATAACTTTTTCAAAATTGGAACTGAGGAAAATGAAACAGTTTCTTGCAATCAATATTCATCATTTATAATTAATTTAATTCAACATTCATATATTTAATGTGATAATACCTGAAAGCTTTGCAATGTTTTATGTTGGTTTATGTTTGGCTCACACATAAAATCTGTGACTTCTGATAACACGTCATGAAACATTCTTCATTAACATATTTGTCTTAATGCACCGCATGTAAACATTTGCGCGTCAACTATAATGCACAAGTAATGGTATTCCTTCTTACTTTAAATGATAATATTGGGTGAGAAAAAGAATCTACTGTCCGATATGGACCGAGACAAAGTAATCCCAGTCTCGGGGTTACATTTTATGTCGTCACCCCATGAAGCTTGTCCGAGTGAGCAGACAAATTATGTAGCCACTTGACTAGGATTTCCTCGTCTCGGTCCAAACCCCATAGATTTTAAATACCTCAATCACTGTTAAACCTTTTATCTCCAGCACTCTAATGACACAATATTATCTGCAGATGAAATAGAACTCCTTGCACGCCAATACACATAGACTTGCTTCTCAGCCGGTCTAGTGCCAAACCAATATCAGCACATGTACCAGAATTATGTGAACGTCAAATGTAAAATCCAACTGTAATAGAATCCCCTCCCCTTACAGATTTTACATATTGCTAACTTCCTATTAACATAAAAAAATATTTTACCTTCATAAACTGATAAGTGAGCACAACTCTACATTTAGGCAAATTAGGTATGAAAACGAGGATGTGTTCATAAAGATTTGATAGTTTTTTTTACCATTTGAACATGATCTTTGTAAATAACTTATTGTTAAGAATTAAATAATAATAATAATAATAATAATAATAATAATAATAATAATAATAATAATAATAATAATAATAATAATAATAATAATATTCAGCATGATCGCCTCGTTATCCAGATATAATATTTTATCCAATTTTATCAATCTGCACATAACGTTTATAATATGAAAGATCCTGAAGATTGGAGAACTAGAAATGAAATACATTTGTAATATTTTGACTGAGCAGGTTTCTTCGATGGACATATCGTTTAGGGATAGGTACCGAGTGTCACACGAAATTAGTCCTTGTAACCATATCGACCAAAAATAATTGCTACTATTGTACGTCATTTCAATCGTCTACTCATAGCTCTGCTAACATTTTGACTTTCTCAGCAACAGAATTTTATGTGTCGGGAATTTTCGGATGCTCTGTTAACTAACATATTGGAATATGATGGAAGAATAAGTTCTCAATACAAAAATACAAAGGGACTTTTATGAAATTTTAATATCTATATGTGAGATACCTTCGAATGAATGAGTAATATATATATGTATTGAACAAGAAAATAATAATAATACAGTAGCCATGTCGATTCAGTGATATATTAGTTTCACATTTAGTTCTGGTTCTATGGAACAATAAGATGTAATGAATAATACAAAATGACTAATTTAGAAAGAAGATAATTACAATGAGTAGCTATCCCCAATGACCAATCTAGAAAATATATAATCATAATAAGTAATTGTGTCCACTTTAGAACACGACGACGAGTAGGGATCTGATATGAACGATAATCACGGCCACAATGAGTTGATCCCTCTCTTTCAATGGGACGACTATAACTTCCCTTCTATACCACCATCCCCTCACCCCACCCCACCCCACCCCACCCCGCCCCATCCCGCAAACAATGATAGTATGACACAGCAGTATAATACTTACGGGTGTGAGTCAACAATATTTTTTTGTCTTGCAAAGCATCATATTAAACTCTGGGTTAAAAAAGAACCTATTCACTTTTTTAGGCTTGGATATTTTATATGACGTTAAAACGAGTATTAATTGGTGTATTTGCAATAATTTAACGATGTAAGGACGACCAATTCAACACGAATATACTAAGTATGGCCAGCTATATACTATGTTTAGTTTCCAATGATTGTGGTGGATGACATTTTCAGTTCTAAACAAAGTGAAAATATATAAAAAGGAAGATATCGTTAATGATTATGCACACGTTAATATGAATAAATGCTGTATATAAAATACTCTTTTAATTTCTATCCACCAAACTCGTACATTCTCTGTCTGTATTTATATCTTCAAGATATCGTGACTAAAGCTATATTGTCACTTTGACTATAACATCGTTTAGCATCTCAAGTAAAGCAGTTCTGGAATGTACTTAAGAAATATTTTTTAAAAATCCAAGATGTTCCAAAAGATTGTATTTTATTTTAGTACAAGAAATGCCGCAGAGTGTTCATGTTTAAGTACACATTACAGTATATATCAAATAAGGTATTATTGAAGCATATATATACCAATTCACACAATTCAGACGAAGATGAGACCGACCCGGTGGCCTAGAGGTAAGAGTGTCCGCCTCGGATGCGGGAGGTCGAGGGTTCCATTTCTGGCCGAGTTATGTCTAAAGACTTATAAAAATGGTACTGACAGTGTCAGAATAATGTGATATGCTACATGTCTGCGGCACCATGTCCCAGTGTTAAACATCACCGTAACTGCCACACTGATGACATCATTGCGATATGACTGAAAAATTGTTAAAGCTTCGTTAAAACAATCCAAATCACAATACACACAGACGAAGAAGAATGAAACTACCAACCTGCCATGAAAGCTAGACTACAAAGAGAAATTTAAATTCGTCCAAAGGTTCAATAATTTATAAGCAACCGGGTGATGTCGAAGCGATGTAAGAATTGCATATTGAGTTCGAAAGGAAGTTTGTAGACACATAGATACATGTTCTTTTTTTATATCTTTCATCACTTTAAACATTTTGGGTAGTTTGGATATGTTTTATGTGATAAATAATGTGCGTATGTGTGTCCTTTTGATTGATTTACATACATACTGAAATATGCTGAAAGGCTATAGCCTCACACGAATTTACACAGGTAAAACAGTTAACACAATTACGATACAGAACTCCGACAAATGACTTTATCCACACACACACGCGCACACACACGCGCACGCGCACGCGCACGCACACACACACACACACACACACACACACACACACACATACATACATACATACATACATACATACATACATACATACATACATACATATATATATATATATATATATATATATATATATATATATATATATATATATATATATATATATATATATATATATATTTATTTATTTATTTATTTATTTATTTATATATATATTTATTTATTTATGATGAAATACACTGAAAGGCTATATCCTTACACGAAATTACACAGGTATAAAAGTTAATACAATTACGACACTGAACTCCTTCGACAAATGACTTCGTCCATTCAGTTCGGTGTAGATTTCTCGTTTCTTGCGAAAAATGTCCCAAATGAAATGAATGATAGTCTTTACCTATTTAATTTGTAAGATATACCAGCCATATCCTTATTAAACCTATTTATGTATAGTAACTCTTGACGGGATAATTGTTGATGCCTATATTTGGGTATATGATAGTGAAGTCAGTTCAGGTAACGATCGAAATTTAGATCCCGAATGTTTTTAAATTAACAGGTAGCTCAGGTTTGTTTAGTCAATGCTTTACAACAGAGTATTCGACACTTGTGCATTGTCAGCAAAACTCTGATAGATATGAATTGGACAGAGTATCTATAAAACAAATATGAATATGACAATTATATGTATGGGATCTAATTTATAAATTTGGATGATCACTTTGTAATGACAAATTCGAATTCTTCCTAATAATATTTTCCAATAGCAGAGCATTTATAGAAAAGACCACAAATAGACACAGAAGACATAGAAGATATATTATGCTATGTACACACCATACATATACCATGATAGATATTGTTTCCAATGCCTGTGAGAATAGACATACCCAATTTGCCACCCACCCACCCACCTATCCAAGTCTATTCGTCTTTCTACCTTTTTTCATCGAGTCGAATAACCATCTACAGATAAGATTTCTTCTAAAGGTTATAGTTCCGCACAAATAATATATAATTTCCAAATAACGTTTCTAAAAAATAGCTATTAGCAATTGTGCGAGTTTGCAAAATATACACTTGGTTTAATGTCTGTATAGTTTCAATACAAGGTAATAAAGTAAAACTAGAGAGTGATTTTATAGAACGTGAGAGAGGAAAAATTGTAATAATAATAATAATAATAATAATAATAATAATAATAATAATAATAATAATAATAATAATCATAATAATAATAATAATAATAATAATAATAAAAAGTAGTAGTAGTATAATAATAAGTAGTAGTGGTAGTAGTAGTAGTAGTAGTAGTAGTAGTAGTAGTAGTAGTAGTGGTAGTAGTAGTAGTAGTAGTAGTAGTAGTAGTAGTAGTAGTAGTAGTTGTTGTTGTTGTTGTTGTTATAGTTGTAGTTTTGTCGCATTGGCCAATTAATGCATGAATTGAAATATATAAAATTTTATTTATTTCAGCCTGAATTATGTACGAAAAATCGAATTCTGTTGTCAATGTGACTCTTTATATGGAGAAGGAGATTGACGGCAGAACATCGGCAGTAAATGCACTGCTCTTAACATCGCACGAATTCCCCATGTTTACGGGATTCAGTAATATTGACCCCCGTCTAAGTCTCGATTCAAAACAATGATATGATACCAAAATTAAAAAAGGAATTAAAAAAGAAAATTCAATTCAAGCGGATGCCAGAGGGAAAGGAAGAATTGGTGGTTGACGTTATTAAAAAAAACAAAAGTTGAGGTATCTTAATATTAGTACAATGTTAATATCAATATGCCATTTCTGATTTAAATAATCTGATGATGTTAATTCTTGCAGTTTTATTTTCTCTTACCTTCCCTTTTAGCCGTTAGCTGGAAATAATTTCTGGATATACCCATTTAATGACTGGATTTACCCGATTAATGACCGTTACAATGTTCGACATCAATGTATATTTACACATTTAATGACCGTTTCAGTGTTCAACATTAATGTCCATTTACCCATTAGATGACCGTTTCAGTTTTCGACATCAATATACATTTATCCATTTAATGACCGTTTCAATGTCTGATATCAAGGTCCATTTACCCATTTAATGACCGTTTCAGTGTTCAACATTAATGTCCATTTGCCATTTTAATGACCGCTCAGTGTCCAACGTCAAGGTCCATTTACCCATTTTAATGACCGTTTCTATGTTCGACATTAATGTCCATTTATCCATTAAATGACCGTTTCAGTGTTCAACATCAATATACATTTATCCATTTAATGACCGTTTCATTGTTCGACATCAAGGTCCATTTACCCATTTTAATGACCGTTTCTATGTTTGGCATTAATGTCCATTTATCCATTAAATGACCGTTTCAGTGTTCAACATCAATATACATTTATCCATTAAATGGCCGTTTCAGTATTCGACATCAAGGTCCATTTACCCATTTAATGACCGTTTCAGTGTCCTACATCAAGATCCATTTACCCATTTAATGACCGATTGGAGGTCGAAACACTCCAGAATAAAGTGCTTAACTGTGAATGGTTCATTGCAAGATATGCATTCTGGTGGGTCTTCTCCTTTTAGCATGTAGGTGTGGGTTATATAAGTATGGCCGATTCAAATTCTAGGAATGACTACCTCTTCCCTACGGTCAGCTCTGTAGGAAGGAGTCCATTCTCCTAGCATTGGCTTGATGGCATGAAGTTTATTATTCACGGCATCATTCCATGATGCCTGCCATTTCTGAAGTAAACAATTTTTGATAAAGCGTTTAAAATTAGTATATAGTGTTTTAAAATCAGATGGCTCTAATGATAGGGTTATTTTAGCAGTGCTGTCTGCTTTATCGTTACCTTTAATTCCAACATGGCTGGGTAACCAACAGTATACTATATTATGCGAGGTACTCAACTCAGTATGCTTAACGAGAATATTAGCCAATAGTGGATTCTCCAGTTTTCTATTATATAGTGACTGAAGTACTGATAGCGAGTCGGAAAAGATTATGCTATTTAAAATACGCTTGCTTGCAATGAATTGCAAAGCAAGGTCTATTGCTCTAATTTCGGCTGAAAATAATTGACGTACCATTTGGCAGGCGAACTTTGGTTGTGTGTTTGCCACTTACGAAGGCTGCAGCAGCCTTTTCCTCATCTTTTGATCCATCGGTATATATTTTTGTATAATTTTCAAATTGTGAGAGTTTATGGTAAGAGTTGTGGAAAATGGAATGGTTTGTCTCCGATTTTTTTCCATCATGTGACGTGAAAAGTAACCTTGGTTGCTAAAGTAGCCATGAGGAGGGGGGTTTCGGAGATGTTTGCTTTCAGAATTTTTGAAAGATCAATTTTGGTACTTTCGAGAAATTCTGATATTCTAATGCCAAATATAGGTATGACATTTGGTTTATTGTCATATAAGGTTTTATATTTTGCTTCAAAAACAGCCGACAAAGCTGGGTTCAGAGGGCTGGATCTCAATTTGGTAGCATATTGTGCGGAAAGCATTTCTCTACGTTGTGATAGAAATATGTAATTCAAATTATTATTATTATTATTATTATTATTATTATTATTATTATTATTATTATTATTATTATTATTATTATTATTATTATTATTATTATTATTATTATTATAAGTTGTCAGCCGATGAAATGTAAATTTTTGGCTGCACAAAAGCTTCCAAATGAGTGATTTAAAATGATCGGAATATTCTTAAAGTATTCTGTTGGAGTGCATAAGGTGATCTTAACCCAAATCAATATTTGAGAGGCAACAAATATGACACAGTCTCATAATATTGAACTACATTGAGAGTACTGAAGTCCAGGGGAATATTAGTAGCCAAAATCGCGTAATCATGTTGTGTATGAATCTAACAGCGATAGATATATATATATATATATATATATATATATATATATATATATATATATATATATATATATATATATATATATATATATATGCATTTTGTTTCAGACAACACAAAAACTAGAGTCAGACAATACGTCCTTGAAAAATCAGATACGAGAACTAAGAAGAGAAAGAGGAGTCGTTCTCCGGTGTCAACTACAGGGACACCTGTCCGTTTGTCCTTACGTCACTGGCCAAAATATGCAGATGAGCTTTCCATCGTGATATTTGCAGAAGCGGATTAACAGGGGTTAAAACATCCAGACCAGTTGAATTTTTTGTTATATAACAATCATATATTAAGTTCAACGCGGTCTGTATTCACTTCCAATTTAACTTAGCAATTTAACAATTACTTCATCTGGATCAGTCTCAGTGTAAACATTAACCGATTATAGAAGTAGACGCCAAGGTCCTGACAAAAAATCTAGGTGTTATGTTTTATTTTTGCTATCAGGTAGCAGTATTAAAAAACTGTAGGAGTATCGTCATGAATTATTTCA